GGGTTGATTGAAACCCCCCCCCCCCCCCTTTCCTATGTTACAGTTTTTGGGACTGAGTTGCCAATTGCTGGGACTAAATAGTGCTGAGTAAACCCCTGCCTGAAGAAGGGTGGAGAGGTAGTGTGGAACTGTGAGTATAACTTGCTGGTGGCTATCGGCAGACACTTTCACTCTGCCCCAAATGAGCAGGTGACTCTTTAAGGCCAGTAAAATATGAAGGTTTGAGGACATGGTCAAGTCATGATTTTGAATGTAAACCTTCCTATTTGTGAAGTTCTGGATTCAGAATGTATGTAAATTTATTGCAGATAAAAAGGTGTGTACACTGATGCAGATATAATTGGTTGACTGTTTTAATTAGCAAGAACTATTCATGATACTTTGCTCTAATTGGGTTTTGCATGCAGTTCTAGTTTAAGGTAGGCTGCTTACTTGGGTTTTTTAGGCAAAAAAAGCCCCCACAGGAATGTGTATTTATTTCAGAACTCCACCTTGACTGGAGGGTGATTTTGCGGGGTAACACTGTGGGCATGTTCTGCTATTAAAGAAGCACTTTAAAAGAAGAATCCAGTATTCTGATAACTGTATGCAGCTGATGCATGTTATCATAGTATTCATGAACTCTTACTATTTAATGTGCCATTATTTATCATTTTATCCACATGTACATAAAAGTCAAGTGACAGTGACAGGGGTTTGGACAAACTATAAACACTAGCAGGTGTGCTTACAATGGTACCTTTTTATTTATACGGTTTAACCAAAATGCTGCTGCAACTGCTCAAGCAGCCCTGGTAGTGTCTTGCTTCTGTCATTTTTGCTAGTCAGCTTGGTCTGCTTGTCAAATGTAAAAAAAAAAAAGCATTTAACATAAAAAATGGAGTTCATTTGTTAAATACTAACATTATATTAATCAGCCACATACAGTTATCGGTATACATCAATAGTGGCTCTTTACGCTCTCTCCAACGATTCCAATCTATTGCTGGATCTGTCAGACTTTTGTCATCCCCATTTTCGAACACCCCTACAAGAAGAGCAAGGGCAGATCATCACTAGGCAATCTACTTAATGGAGGCAATGACATTTTTGGACGTTAACTTCACTGATTACCCTTCACCCAAAACGAATGTGGCCTTTTTTTTAAATGGTACTGTGTTTTGCTGAAAGTACAAAATGTGTGTTGGGTACTACACATCTAGAAAGCTGTCTTTGAAAGATTTGCCTAAATGTGCAACAATCTTTATCTGTAATCATTGTCGGGACAAAGGCTGCTCAAATAGTGTCTAAATGTGTCGTCTTGTTTTCCATCGCTCATGTAAAATGCAAATATTACGGATTCAAAATAACTTTTATGAAAGCATCAGTCACAGAATGATGGCCCTGTATTCTTTTATTGTGTGTACAAGAAATGATTTATGTAAATGGACACCGAGAAAGTCGGAGCAGAAGTGGAGCTCTTTCAGAAGGCTTCGCCTGCTGAACCTGGATATTATGGGGAACAGCTTTGCTTTGGATCCAGTGTGCAAGCATTGATATATTGGTTTTGAAATGTGTGTAATGTTTCACCTTTCCATCTGCATATACCATCTTTGGCTTCATAAAATTGTATGCATGTCTTTAATGTTACATGCAGTTTTTCTATTTTTGTGTTTGTTTTTACATTTCCAAAATGCTGTATTCTAGATGAAATTAAATTAATTGATACATCTTTTGTGTCTCCCTCTCTGTTTTATTATATATGAAAATATTTCTCTCCCGTTCATTGAAGGACACAGGGAACAGATCGGAGATCATGTACTGTAGGGTAATATCGCCACCTGCAGGAGAAGGACGCTAGGCACAAAAACTAAAGACCAATTACAGCCTAGGGGCGGCCCCTGCCGGTGGCCAAACCCCCCACCTGCTGACAAGTCTCCAGTTTTTTGCCTAGCGTCAGGAGTAAGGAGCTAAGAATTTTTTCTCTGTATTCTTACCTGCTTCTTCCTGATTTTTTCAGAAGATTCTTCTAGCAAGTGTTGTCCGGGCGACAGGCTGGATGTCTCGGATCTTTGGAGTCTCCACTGGATGACCAGCGAGTGTATGCAGGCCCGCTGAGGTGGGTCGGCTACGACGGCCCCACTCCGGCGGGGTGGCCTGTGGGTTCGTCCCATGCGCACGCTGACGCAGCGCCCCCCACGAAAGCGCGCTTTGCCGGCCCCCTCACCGGTCCTTTCTGAGGAAGAGGGGGA